AATATCAGTGTCACACTATTAACTGTGATGTTAAAACTAAAGTGGGCATGTCATCCTGTAGTATCCAAACAGCTTTGTTGTTACAGCATTGGTCCTGTGGACTTGTGCCTCCTCGACTGTTCCTACTATGCAGGGATTTGAGTTAACAGTGGTCCTGTCGGAACAGACTGAGTGATTGGTGTGCCTTGCTGTTTTACAACATGCACAATCAGAACTTATACTGGTTGACTGACTGTTTTACAAGTGAATACAACCTTGTAATTATTTTAACCATTTTCAAACTGAGCTGTAGGACTTCTGTGTGACTTGTCTTTCTGCTGAACTGACTGCACAGTTCTACAGTAAACACAGTTGTCATACCAGTTGATAACGGAGGGACTTCCTGTACCAGGGCAGAATGCTACAGGAAACCATTTCTACAGTCAGTCATATGCTGACAGTGTTGTTTTCTCTCCCAGTTTGTTAAAAGAATGAATCAGCCGTGTTCTCCTGTTCTGTCCAGGCTCTCCCCAGCTGCTTACTATGCCCAGAGAATGATCCAGTACCTCTCGAGACGGGACAGCATTCGCCAGCGTTCACTTCGCTACCAGCAGAACCGCCTGCGGGCAATGTCGTCTTCATCAGACAGCCCTGCCAGCAACCCATCCAGCTCCATGGACAACAGTGATGTGGACTTTGAGGACCTGGAGTAAGTCTCATTCTACAACTTGGATATGGGTTAAACCTGGTTTTATTACTTGAAAATGTACAGTGTCATGTCAGATTTCGCTCATTGTGGATGTTGAAGGAACAACACTGTCTGCTTTGTATAAAACAACACAGCTGATGTTCTTCTGTCAGAACAGTTTAGAAGTGATTTTGGCTGAGCTTTGCCTAGAAACCTAAACTGATGTCACACTGTGATAATTGACTTTTATAAGAAATGACTCAAAGTGCAGACTTCTGTTGAGGTGACAGCAAATCACTGTTTTAAGATTTATTTTTGCTTCTTAATTATTGCTTTTATAAATGTCTTTTTAAGTGTATAACCTGTGCTCTGTATGAAAGCAGTGCTTGTAGTTTTGTTGTGTACCCTTACCATTTTCCAGCGATAATGGAGACCGAGCCAGGCACAGGGCACCACGCAACGCCAGGATGTCTGCGCCCTCACTGGGTCGCTTTGTCCCTAGGTCAGTGAGTTTTCTGTTTCATCTGTGTACAACAATTTACAGAGCCTGTTCTCATATGGTCCAAAAGATGAAGGCATATCAGAACTTGTGTAATGCCCTGGATGAATAAGTTTAGGTTTTTCCTGCTTCACATGCAGGCGTTTCCTCCTCCCTGAGTACCTGCCCTACGCTGGACTCTTCCATGAGAGAGGGCAGCCTGGCCTGGCCACACACTCCTCTGTCAACAGAGTGCTTGCTGGTAAACACACACTTGGCGTCACTGCCAAAAGCACCATTTTAGATTCAGAAATCAGCTCCAGCTGCCAGACAAATCCTGATAAGGTTTCAGACATATTGATATCAAGCCAAAGTGGAATTCTCTGTTTGGAGCAAATGTTTAACTCTGAAGCCAAGCTGACTTCATAATGTAAATAATCGGTGACCATCTGTACCATTTGCTTCCGATTTCTCCTTTAAATGAATTTGCCTTTCCTCAGGGGCGTCAATCGGGGATGGTCAGTCTGCTGTTGCCAGCAACATTGCTAACACCACCTACCGTCTGCAGTGGTGGGACTTCACCAAGTTCGACCTTCCTGAGATCAGCAATGGTACAACAAGATTCACCTGCACTTTCCACCTTACCCTGTTGTTTGTGAGACCCTTTGAGAGCTGGGCATTGTAATCCGGATCACTAGTCTGGACAATGAAGTAGTTTTACACTGCTCATGAAACCCGTGATTTGTTATTTTTACACTTTAACACCTTACATCTCATTTGCTTAAACCCGTGATTTGTTATTTTTACACTTAAGCAAATGAGATGTAAGGTGTTAATCAGTGAGCTGTAGGCTTTCTGCTTGGTAGATTTTGTTCCCTTTGGACAGAGCTAGCCGTTGACCTGGGTTTAGTCTTTATGCTAAGCTAAGCTAACACACTACAAACAGTATTTATAGTTACTGTACGGACACGAGAGTGGGATCAGTAACTCGGAGAGCAAGGCACACAAAATGTCAGTGCTCCTTTAACTGGTTTAGCCTGTGTCACTGTGGAACTTTGCTGTTGAACTGTGGTTCCCAACACTGACTTCATGTTGTCACACATATAAATGATTCTAATTAGCTTCACAGATTGTAAATTAACAGAATAAGAGCACTGGTATAGAATCGGTACTTTGTATCTGCAGAAACCAAGTTCAGTGTCTGCAGAGAATAAGCTGACTTGGTGCAGCTCTAGGCTGAAGGGCAGGATCTAATGTACCATACAATAATTAAAGGGATAAATAGTAAATATTTATTTCTTACTTAAAATTATGTTTAATATGACTTCAGTTTGTTTTGTTGATAATGGAATGCTGGACACTTTCATGTCTTCAGGCCTGTAAAAATGTTCAAATGATCATTTTTGGTCTAAACTCTGTGATGGGGTGACCTAGAGGTCAGAGTACTAACCATAAACCACAGTGTCCCTGCTTCATGTCCAATCATTTCCCGTTTCCTTCACCTCTTTACTGCCTGCTTGATAATAAGGTCTAACCTGCCCCAAAACACCTTTAAAAACAGAAGACTCCTTGTGTTGTGGTGTCACGAGTACAGAAAGTGTGTAACCCACAGATCTAATGGATGTTATCGAGGTAGTTTGAATACCCAGCATTGAAGACAGATATGTCTGTGTTTCTTGCTCAGCCTCCATCAACGTTCTGGTGCCAAACTGCAAAATCTACAATGATGCGAGTTGCGACATCTCTGCAGACGGTCAGCTGCTGGCAGTTTTCATTCCTGGCAGTCAACGGGGTTTTCCAGATGAGGGCATCCTGGCCATCTACTCTCTGGCTCCCCACAACCTGGGAGAGATGCTCTACACCAAAAGATTCGGTACAGTATCCTTCCAGAGTTCAGCCTCTGTCATCAGTTACTGTGGATATGTTTGTGTCCGACAGTTACTTTAGATCAGTTAGAAGGTGCCATTATTTAAACTTTGACCCTAATTATGTAGAAATCGCTAAATCCATAAGGAAAATAAAACATTGTATGCATCACTTGATTCTCATGTCACATCTTTCTTGTGGAATGCTATGTCAGCATCTCCTGAACATGACAAAGTGTCAGAATTTTCCCATCTTCTCTGACAGTTTGGAGAGCAGAACAGTCACACTCTGCTTCGGAATTTGATGTGACTAAACAGTGCAGTTTGGTCTGTAGTATGGACATGATTTCACTCTTTTGCTGGAGCACTGCTGTTCCTGCAAGCATCAGTGTTTTAGCTTTGGGGTACACAATCTACTCTGCTTCAATTTTACAGAGCTGCTGTATTTACCAAATACAGAGGCTTTCGTTTAAATTTGGCATTTTGGATTAAAACCCTACTTTAGTATTCTTTTGAAATGCTAATTTTAAGAGGTCCCCCCCCCAGTGTAAGCACATATAGCTGGCATTCTTATAAAATGGAAACTGCTACAAAAAAGTGAATATAATTAAAATACATTGGAGTTGGTCATTGGCGTGTGTCTATGCCAATAACAAACGTATAAGAGTTGGAAAATACATTGATTTGTGAACAAATAAGGCATATGTTCTGTCTTCAAATAAAACCTGAACATAATCAATAATGTTGTCTAGGACTTGTGCACATATCTGCTGAACAGACTGTTTGAATCTTGGTCATATTGATCCTAACACAGGGAAGCAAATGCTTTGTAAATTAGGCTTTTATAATGTTGACTGCACTGGACTTGCCTGACTTCAGATGTTACAGTATGAACAAAACTCCAGCTTTGAATACGCTTAATCTCAGAAGCCAAGCAGGGCTGGGTCTGGTCAGTAACTACATGGGAGTCCACAAGGTTGGGTGTTTGGCTAGCAACCTTGCCCCCTACAAGAAATGGCATTCATCTCCTGCCCAATGCGACAATGGTCCTACCTCCCCCCCATGGACAAAAACAGACCTCCTGTTCTTTTGTAATGTTTACTTCAAACCCACTTAATGTCGGTGACCATTAGGAATTCACTAAGCATTCAAATCAGGAATGAAAACGACTTTGAAAAGTACCAATATAAGTGGAATTTACTATACATGTATCTTCCACCAACAAGTGGGCTTCTTAAAAAGAGGGACCACCACCTGCCAGA